AAGTTCAGTATCGTGAAACCTTTCACAGTTTACCGACAAAAACATCCTCTATAAGATGTAACTACCCGAAAATCAACTCTGTCGTAGTATCATTGGATCATATTCGCTCACTCACAGACATGTAAAAACACATAAACACATAGACATAGATGCAGACACAGAGTGGTTCTTATGCTTTATATGAGCAGATTTTTCTCTTAATATGAGGATAGGCATATAAATACGTGCATGCTCCACATATATATATATATATATATATATATATATATATATATATATATATATATATATATATATGACAATTGGAAAAATATCTTAGATTTTGCCGACGCGTTTCGTCTTCCGACTTTTTAAAGGCAAAAATGAAATCGAAATGTTTTTGTTGTTATAGTTACATTAAAAAAATACAAATTTAAAAAGACAGACGCTTCTGACTAAGCTTTTTTTCTGGTTAATGTAAATTACCTTTATAGTAAAGGATTTTTTTCCATATCGACACTAGTAAAAGGCATTTTTTTCCATATCGACAGTCAGTAAAAGGCAGAGTCGATCCAACTTCACTACACACAAGACGCTAGTGGACCGCTGGCGTGCCACCGATGGCAACAGTGGGCCACTAGCTGCCCGCAAGTGGTAACATTGCCGAAACGAACACGCCGGCGGTCCGACAGCGGACCACCAGTGGGAAATGCCAGTGGCATGCCATCCATTGGCGGGTTGGGGGCTTGCGTGTAAGGTTTGTTATATTGATCTCAAAAGGCTTTTTACCACTCACAGTAATTTTTTGCCAGAACAAGGCTGACATTTTTTTCAACCTATAGGATAAATTCCGACATGGAATTTCTGCATTCTTTCATTTCAGCAAATCCTGGCGGAAATTTCCAAATAAACTAGGATGAAGATAGTCAAGCTACCCTAGAATATGAACCAGCGAACAATCGCTAAGGATCTTAGGATGTCAAGAAGTGTCATTTCAAAAATACCCTTGAAGTCCCAAAGCACTAGAATTGTTTTGAATCGATCAAACTATTGCCGATTTCAAAAGCCTCTGCATAGGATAAGGATAATGATCAGAACAGCGAAAAAGTTTAGTGACAAAACTGATAGTCAAGGGATGGAAGAGTGTGACTTGTTCAACTTGGTATCAATAAATGACACGATGTGTATCCTTAAATAATATGGGATGAAGGGGTTCATTTCAACGAAGATAGCAGCATTGACCAACTTAATGTTGCCTTCAAATGGTTTTTGTTTAAATTGTTATAAAATGCGGGATGCAGATGGTTGGGATAAGATTACATTCAGCGACAAAACGAAGACGAGGCTGCATTCTAATAAGTGTGGGTTTGTCAGAAGTCACACAGTAAAGCAAAATGGTCCACATTAAACAACGTTACGTTTATAGTTCTTAGGTGTTTTTTGTGCATAGGTTTTATTATCTGCTCGTAACATTGTCTGTTTTTGTCTTGAATTTTTTTCCTTGTTTAAAGTGATATGAAATATGGGATGCAGATGGTTGGGCTAAGATCACATTTAGCGACGAAACGAAGACGAGGCTGCATTCTAATAAGTGTGGGTTTGTCAGAAGGCACACAGTAAAGCAAAATGATCTTATGTTTATAGTTCTTAGGTTTGTAATTTCTTCTTTTTTTTTGCATACGTTTTATTATCTGCTAGTAACATTGTCTGATTATCGTGGTATGTGTCCGTGTTCATAAATTCTATGCCTCCACATTTGTCAAACGTTGAGATGAGAATTTTGTTATTGTTTGCTAACTTACTTAGAGCATTAATATACAGCTTAGATAGAGCCGTTTTCTTCATTCTTTTTATTTGATCGATTGTAGAATCGATTTTGTCTTGTATAAATCCTTTATTGAAATTGTTGTCGCTGTTATTGGAATTTCGGATAAAAGTATTAGTAATTTTTATTGTGTTGGTTGCTTTCTTTTGTTTTATTTTTTGCTGTAATCCTAGTAATAAATTGTAATTCGAAACTGAGAGATTACAACTCAGTGGATGTGAACTGTAAGCTTGTAATCTTTTGAAAATTAATGTTTTTCAAACATGTTTAAAAATTAATGTTCTTCAAACATTTAATGTTTTTCAAACATTTAATGTTTTCCTGTAACTTTTGCCTTCTTTCCAAACCATAACAATCAGTTCTTTTTGCGAATTTGTCAGTTCTTTACCTCTTGCCATGATGAAAACCTTCTTGCACGAATATCAATTACAGAATGTTCTGTTTGTATTTTTAGGCTAAAAATAACTACTGATAACATTATTGGAACATTCTAGAATATTCCCCTTGAATAATCTAGAGTGTTAAAGTTTTAAAATCTGAAATTTGCATTGTACGAATACTTTTGCACACATTGAAATGGATAAATGGGATTTATTTCTATTAAATCAAAATTTGTTCTATTTTCTATGCATTCAGTTATTATGCATCTGTATACAATTAATTATATGAAAATTATGTTTATTCATTAGTTGGAAATGCAATAAATTAAAATATTGTATATCTACGAATATTTGTTCATCCCACTATATATATATATATATATATATATAGTCATCCAAGAGACAGATTATTTCCATATATCACAGTTAATGTAGCTAGATGCCCGGTTGCCTCTAGCTAGGATCGAAACCCGACTGAATTGGCGCTAATCGGGGATTCTACTCTTAAACCGTTGGCGCACGGCAGGTGTGAACGTGAATTTAAGCGTATTTAATTTTAGATAAACACACAGTGACTGAGAAAACTCGATTCGATTTACAGAGTTGTGCATTATTAGCCGTAATAGTCACTGTTTACAAGCCTACACTTCCTCCCCAGAGAGCTCAACCGAAGTAAATATTTTCAGGAGCATATATATTGTCATCCACAGACAGACTGTTTCGCTGTATATATATATATATATATATATATATATATATATATATATATATATATATATATATGTCGATCCAAGTGCGTTTGGTTATTCTGTTTGAATCCGCTACGAATTGTGCTAACATTTGGATTAAAGAGTCGAATGATTGTGAAACATGATTGACCAACGAAAATCAAACAACACAAAAGTAAAAATTTTAATAAAAGTGAACGGTAAACGTTTCATATTTGTTCTTTATCTATCATATATATATATATATATATATATATATATATATATATATATATATATATATATATATATATATATATATGTATGTATGTATGTATGACGTAACGATATATAATTTTATATATCAAGAAACAGTATTGAGAAAATAATATGACAAATTTGAAATAGGTTTTTGTGACTCGTTTAATACGTTAGGACTTCATCGGACTGGTCTTTGTTGATGTTGCCACTACCACACATGTGCACGAAACGAGAGACGCTGCTAGTTTCCAAATTCTTTCAAACATTTTGAAACTACCAGCATCGCTCGTTTCGTGAGCATGTGTAGTAGGATCAACATCAACAAATTGAGATTTCCTGATAAAAAGGAGTGTCTCCTTCCAAAACTCTTCAGTAAGTGTTTTCGCCTTGTAGTATATGGGTCTGCCGCTGGTAGGATTGGGTAGTTTCACTCACTCACTCACTTTACCCTCTCCATCACTAAGTAGTAGTCGGCAAAACTTCTCTACTGGAGTAAATAAAAGTAGCCAATACTTGTGCTATTTAATACAACAAGAAATGAAGACATTCCACTTGGTGAAAGGACGTCTGATTTAACTTTCAGTAAGAAACGGAGACAATACCTCTTTGGTGCATTGACCTGAAGACAGCTGTGGAGGCTAACACAGCGACAACTCCTTGCTCGGTATGACGATAAACTACAACCTGCAGCAAGGATTCTGATCGTCAGATTTTGATGAGTATGAACAGCCTCTTAATTGATGTTCCCAGGTCCACCCTGATCCTGAACGGTAGCACCTGTTAGGGCCCCAGCTGTGGGTAAATAGTTAACCCTTAAACTGGTGTCAAAATACGATGAAATTATAAAAAAAAAACAACTTTATAGTAAAAATACCAGCAATACATTTTTATAGTAAAAAATTACCAAGAATTCATATTTGTAAAAAAATAGATAAAAAAATAAATAAAAATGACCAGAAATACATTTTAATTACTAATGTTCCCAAGAAAATAGTATTTCGGCATTAAATGACCCATAAGGAGTTGATATGCCGCTAAACAAACACCTAACGACTGCCCACTCCAAAACAACGACAGTAACCGCCAAACACTGGTCCGAGCCATATCACTATAATATCGTGACAATATTGCATAGTTGTCAGTTGTCAAGGTGAAAGAAAATATTCCGAATGTTGATTTTGAAAGCAGTCGTAGGAGCTTCTGCGGAACCTAATCTTCTTCATTTTACTGTCTTTGAGCCAAACTTCAATCAGTTAAATGCCACATGTGATACACGCTTGGGCGATCAAGTCTCTTTCGAGTCATGACTGACTAGTCAGATGATTTTCAGGCAGTTGGTTACCGATTCTTTCTGCGGTAGACTGGTTATCAACCAAGGCTATAGGAACCAGCCTATCCTGATATTCAACACATAGCTAGGGAAGAAGAGGGGTATACATACCTTTAGTATTTGTGCTTAAGTGATTGTAAAGAGCCCGAATGGAATTCGAACAGAGCTCTGCGATTTCTCATTCCGAGCTGATATCCATTACACCACACTGCACATCCCAGGACCAAGCTTACTCCGTTAATTTTAATTTGCGATCAAAGTCGCCCAAAATGATTAGAGTAATTATCTATTTTCTACACAAACGAGAGGTCAGAGATCAATTACAAATAAAATCCAAGATTTAAAATTTATTATTTTGGCCCATGTCGCCCATCGTTGGTATTATGCTATCAGAGGTTGAACCTTCTCACACTTAACCCACATTGTTTTATCTCGCAACGTGATTGGCTTATAGAAATATTTTATTGTCGATAATGTTTTCTTTTTCCTCATAATATTGTAAATTTTAGACAATATAA